GTCGGACGCTCAACCGACTGCGCCACCCAGGCGCCCCATGAAGCACGTTATTTTAAAATGAGTGCCAACCGCACACCTACCACAAGAAACACCAATACTTTAACTTTACAAAACGAGTTACCAAGGGATTTTAGGTAAATGTGGTCACGTACAGCCTTCTGACAGATCTTCCTCCCACAAATACCTAACAAAATGAGCTTTAAAAAAGTTGTTAAAAAAAAAAAAACAACCAAACAAACCTTAACTTTGATATGGAAAAAAAAATATGGCCAGCAGCAAGCCAAGAAGGAAACATACCATAGGCTGTGAAAATTGGCAACCAGGGAAGGATATTCTAGCATAGGACATCCTGTCTCCACCCTTCCGAAACAGCACTGACCAGGGAAGGGGATTCAGTACCCCCTAAGAACTCTCACTAACATCCCTGATTGGTGGGGGGACTAGAGTGAGGAGATGAGGCAGCAGTCCTGGGGAAGATACTTTCCCCTGCAGCAGTCCTCCCCAAAAGACTTCTCATTTTCCAAGACTATTCTAATTTGAGGAGACCAGTTGAAGCGCACAAAAGCTGGGTGTACCCCTGACCTGGAATGGATTCTGGTGCGTGTCACTTAAAATCTCAGAGGCCAGAGCAGAGCCCAGATGCTCCAAGTTTGCTCTGCTCCCCAGCCCTAATGTTGGCCTCCATTTATGGAAAAGTTACTAAAAGACAGTACTCACACCCCCAATTGTGATTTGAAAGAAAAGACATCGTGGAAGAAGATCAGAAAAGGTGTTGATCAGGGTGGATGGCAATCTGGATGGAACAACTCATTCTACCATGGCAAGACAAAAGGCAGTGGCACAGGGAATGCACCAACATGGGACCAGAAGAAGGAAGAAAAGAGGAGAGATGAAGAAGAGAAAGAAGGGAGAGCTTGCCTGAAGCATGCAAAATCTGTTTAGACACAAGATAATAAAGTCATTCAGGAGACAACAGACATGGAAGAGGGAGAAAATTAATCCAACGTACAGATAATCACTGTCTGTGGAGTAGAGAGTCCAACAGGTAGAACAGAAGAGGCTTTCAAATCTAAGATAGGAAGTAAGTGAAGCGTGGATCTGTAGTTGAGACAGAGTCACTGTGTTCTAAGAAAGACTGTTATGGGAAGACCAACCCCAGACACATCACAGTTAGTAAACAGTTCAGTTAATAACTTGAAGCATAAGAAAGGATCTCTTCAGGAGAAAGCCAGTTGCCTAAAGGATAAGTATTGGACTAGCTCTAGGCTTCTCTATAGCAACATTCAATGTCCGTGCCAAGTACCAAAACACAAGTGGATATCATCTCTGGATGGAAGGTCTAGGGATGACTTTTGTTTCCTTTCATGCTTTTCTACATTGTATGCTTTCTTTAATTGTTAAAAATGGGTACATATTACTCATGATAATCAGAAAAATATAACAACACAATTTTCATTTTGAAAAACAACAGAAAAATAAAGGACCTCCCAGAAATCCCCTCTGTTTGCATATCACACCCCATTCTTTCTCATTTTACTTTGGATTTAAAGAAACAGTGAGAGGCTCTCAGGAAACCAGGCTAACATTGCCTTCAGACAAAAGAGAAAAATGAATTCCAGAAGTTGGTAGGGCACTCAGATAAAACCATGAATACTCTTAAGTTCCTTTCCCATATTTTAAAAATTGTAAACGTCTTTAGTCCTGCTTGCGTCACAATGGAGTCATTAAGACTCAAACTGGCAGTTACCCAGCCTTGAGTTCGAGTCCCATGGTGGTATGATTTGAGGGAATCAGTTAACTTTCTTATGCCTCTGTTTCTTTATACATTAAGTGGGAAAAATAGTAGTAACAACTACCACATACTAGGCAATTCAATGAAATAACGTATGTCAAGTGCTTTTTACAATATGTGCCACTTACTGTCAGCCCCATCAGCAGCCGCAGCAGCACCATTGTCCTTTTTATAATCATCACCACCAGCATCTTCGTTTTGTCATCATCACTCTTGGCTAAGAGTCCTTGGGCATGTCACTCCCGTTTTCTGAACTTCAGCTAGCTCATGACAAAATGAAGGGAAATAATTCTTTCTATAATAAGAAGAAAAAGCTAACACTTACCATATTAATTATAGAAGCTAACACTTACTGAATGCCTCTCATGTGCCCTACTTAATACTAAGTGCTTAGTAGTCATTTAATCCTCACAAATACCTCCGTGGTAAGTTCCTACTGTCATCACTGTGCAGGTGAGAAGCCTTAATTCTAAAGAGATTCGGTAGAGCTGCATTTAAACCTGTCCTTACTGACACCAGAGGCCAAGCCCTAGCCCGCTGTGCTTTACCACCTGGTTGTTAGGTTCAAGGGGGATCATGGAAATGAAAACCAATCAGCAAAACAGGCTGTACAGAATTCTTATTGTTTCTTGTATTTGCCCTCAGAGGTGGCCTGAAGGGAGGAGAGAGGAGACCCAATGTAGATGTGCTGTGAACCTCAGTATCTTGCTCATTCCTTGTGGGTCCTGCAGACGTTTACTGAGTCCCTAGTATCCGTATCCTAAGTGCTGTGCCAGGAGCAAGGGCCACCACCAGCAAACAAGTCGTGGCCCAGCCCTGAAGAGACACAGAGACATGTGGGGAGGCAGGTGTATCAACATTCTCTGCTCCACCGTAAGCTGATGTACCAGTATAAGGAATGTTAATGGAGCTACCGACAGGTGCTTCCAGACCACACCTAGGGAAGTCAGGGCAGGTGGCACACCAGCCTTCAGCCCTGTCCAGGCTTCACAGTAGCTGTGAACTGACCCCTGAGGGTGTGCCGCACGGCTCCCAGTGGTGGTAGCTGCGGGAACAACCGGGTGTGCGACAGACTGTCGACAAGGCAATATCGTGCTTGCTTAAGACCTAAAGGCTGGTTTTCGCACGTTTCAATGCGTCACGGTTGTTCTTGCACATTTTGATAGATACCTTTAAGATATGGAAAGTCTCCTTTCTTTGTAGTAAACAATATATCAGATCTTTTCAAAATCAAATTTTGAGTGTCTAATACAAGTACGTGAATATCGATCACATATCTACTCTCTGCCCAAGATGCCAGGCAGATGGGGACACTGTCTGCCCTGGAGGGCTCATAGTCTAATGGGGGATGAGGGGATGGTCCATTCTGAGTCATTTTGATGTGCTGGAGGCCAAGGCTTGCTGGCAGAATAGAGGGGTTATAACAGTGAACACTCTGAAGGGACAGGCTTGAGTCGTCCTGTGATCCCTGTCGCCTTGGGTTTCTTGGTTGAACTTGATCAGTATATGTTGTTTGTAACGCTCACAGTGAAAGCTTTGCCTCCATGGGGTGGAGTCTCTGAATTCTGCCCCTTCCTTCCATCCCCACTGGCACCATGCAAGCCCTCTAGGCAACCATGGCCTCCTCCTGCCCTGGCCAGCAGCCTCCTGCAGCCACCACTCCACCCTCCGGTCCCCTCTCTAAACAGCTGTGGTCTCTACAAAATGCAGGCAGATCACATCAGCCCCTACTCAAAACCCCGCATTGTTTTTCTTCAGTAGCAGACCCTCTCCTTGATCTACAAGAGGCTGCTTAATTGGTCCTGCTTCCCTTTCCCGCTTAATACCATTCCTCTCTCCCCTCGCTCAACAGAGTGGCCTCTGCTCTAGACCTTGACCCAATCCCTTTCACCCTCCCGTCCCTCTGCCTGGCAGTCTTCCCCAAATCTTAGCAAGCTGTGTCTCCTCCTTCAAGTCACATCTGACCCATCACCTCCCAGAGAGCCCTCCTTGACCGCTACGAACACCGGCTCCCTCCAGTGCTGAGTGTGTTCCCTCCATGCTTAGTGCATGTTGTAATTACTTACTCATTCGTTCACTTCTTTTTCATAGACAAGTCATTTCTCCCCCCTTCCAGAAGAGGGAATGAATCCCAAGGGGGCAGGACATTGCTCCTGTCGTCCACCACTGTAGGACCAGCCCCAGCACGGTCAACAACCATGGAACCCTTAAGTGTCTTCCTAGAGTCTGGCATTCCCCTTCCACTACCCTTGTCTGTACGACGCCGGCATGTAGATCTGATTGGCACAGTGGGGATTGCATTTGGGGGGTGGTGCAAACAGGACCCCAGTGGCCATGCTGAGCCCCAGGTCCTGGGTCTGGGCACAGGGCCCAATCCTGGATCTCGCTGAGTTCAGGGAGAGTACGGTGCAGACCTTGGGGATTCTCAGCTACGTGTGGCACCCCGAGGACATTTGGAAATGGGTGCAAGCCCCTGTGGGGAGCTCCGGGCATCCAGGAGGTGAGGGGTGACAAACATCGTGCAACTGCACATTATAGTCCTCAAGATAAACAACTGTCCTCCGTCAGTGCCAGTGATGTTTCTGCTGAGTGACGTCCCGCTGTCGGGGCGACTCTGGGACTGGGACCCACCACCCATCCAGTCACAGGGGAGATCAGGAAGACGAATGGCTTGCCGGTTGAGTGAGGGTTTCTGCCCCGTCAGGCAAGGATCAGCGGGGCCAGTGCCGACCTGTGGAGGTCGAGTACCAAGCCTCAGTTCTGGCCCTGCTACACTGGAGCTGGGTGACCTTGAGTAAGTCAAGTAAGCTCTCTGGGCTTCAGGTTTCTCTCCCAGGGAATATGGGAGCCAGGACCTGCCTGACACAATATGCCAGTGAATGTCACTTGCCTTGGAAATCAAGTTGGCATCTATTGTAGTCATCTTGTGGCGGGTTACAGCTTGATTCAGAAGGCGTTGGGAGAGCCAACAGGATCAGTCGCCTCTCACTGGGATGCGCCAGGTCAGAGAGGCGGTTCGTACACTTTGAGGAGTTAGGGGCTGACTGTGGCACGCATTCCCGAAGCTGTCCCTCGTCCAGGCAGGGCCGGCTCTCACGGAAAGGGTGCCGCCCTGCCATATGGAGATGGAGGCCGGCAGCACGACCTTGTCACCTTGTCGCAGTGATTAATCGGTGATTAATCGTGCGCCCTTGCTCTGCCACCACAGGGGGCATCCCGTTCATCCTGACCGGCGAGTTCTTCCAGCAGCCCCAGCGGCCGGCTGCTTTCATCATCGCGGGCACCGTCAACTGGCTCTCCAACTTCGCCGTGGGGCTCCTCTTCCCGTTCATCCAGGTATGACAGCCGAGGGGTCTCTTGCCATGGGATGCCCTCTGACTCGGCACCCTGAGGGCTGATCCACAGAGCAGAGGCCGGGTCTGTCACAACTGGAAAACTCACGCTCTTGGCCTAAGGACGGCAGAAATGCACCTTGGCTCAAACCCTTAATTCGCTTTCTCCTTCCTGCACCTTCCAGGAGCTGCCCAGGATGCCAAGGGCTGCCTCAGAGGGAGTGGGCTTCCCGTCGCTGAGGGTCTGCAGGGAAGCCTAGGGTAGAATCCCAGACCTGCCTTTGTGCATGTGCTTGTCACGGTGCTAGACGAGGTCCGGGTAACAGTGACAGTGCACGCTGCAACGTGCCATGCGTCGGACATCCTCATTGGCATCGTAACCAAGCTGACGGGGTCACCGTCCCAAGGGTGACTGTGACGGACAGGGAAATGCTAACTCGGGAAATGGATACAAGTTCATTCTGTGTAGGTCAACTCGCTCGTTTATTCAGCACGTATTTATTGAGTCCCTACTCTGTACCAGGCACTGTTTCAGGCAATGGGGATAGAGTGGGCACAAAAACCTGTGCTTGTTGGTCCTGGAGCCAGAAAGGGAAGCAGCAGAAACAGATGTGCTATTTTACACGTGACAGTGACACCTCGTATTTTAGAGGCGACACCTCAAGGGAGGTGACACCTGGGCAGAGACCTGAGTGAAGTGAAGCAGCCCAGGAATGGAGAGGTCCAGGCAGAGAAACAGCAAGTGCAAGGGTCCTGAGGCAGGGCCATGCTTGGCCTGTGTAAGGAACAGCAAAGAGGCCAGTGTAGCTGGAACAGAGTGAGTAACAATAATGGCAGAGGCAAGAAATGAGATCAGAGAGTTCTCTGGGGGAAGGAGCACAAAAGACGAGGACTTTACAGGTGTTCTGCCCAGAACCAGGGGCCCAGCTGCATGCCAAAGAGGGTCCAGCTCCTCTGCTCTAATGCCTCCAGGGCTCCCTGCTTCCCATGACAGAAGTGATACCATCAGTGAAGGTGAGAATCCATCAGATGTCCCTGAGGAAGACCCACCATCCATTCTCAGGGACCATTTCAACGCTCACCCCCTCCCCTGGGGTTAATACTTTGCTTATTAATTGACTAGCACCAAGCCCAGCACATCCCAGAGGCCCTGCTGTAAGCTCGACTGAGTCCCAGGTCAACAGGCCTGGCCACAGGACCGCATGATGGTTACACCTGCATCCGTGGTTACAGGTCCGCTGCACACGGCTTCTTCTGTGCCCACTCCTACAGCCCTGAGCTGGGGTTTCCTGTCTTATCCACTTCACTGCCGAGAGGCTGAGGCTCAGGGAACAGACGCAGTCAGCCCGAGGTCCTGCGCAGTCACCACCCAATCTGGTCCCTCTGTCCCGGGGCCTCTTACTTGTGGGCATTCTCTGCCTGCAATTCACTAGTCTGGGTGAGAGGCTGACCCGCCGTGTGACTTTTAAAGCATCGCCAACTGCATCTGAGGTACAGGCACCCTGCCTCTGAAGCGTGCATGACGTGGGGGACACCCTGGGCCCCACACCCATTTCCTCCCGTCCTCGGAGCGGCCAGAACATAACAAGTTGTCTCTTCAATGACTTCGAACCTGAAATGGCTTTTTCCTGTTTCGGTCAAAGCCAGCAGAGCCAGGGATCAGTAAAATATTCATTATTGTGGGGAAAACTAACTTCAAACCACTTCTCTGTCGACACGGACCCCCTACCACCCCTGCAATGTAAGTGGAGAACTCTAGAGGCTTCACCTGGCCCACCCCTAAGCTTTCTGTGCCTGCGAAGTAGGCCACTGTCTTCCGAGCAGTTTGGGGTTGGGGGACGGTGAAAGCCCCCGAACCCCAAACACGACCCCTCATTTTCCCACCACGGTTCATGAGCGAACAGCACAGAGGCACTTCTGGAACACCGGTGTTTGCTGAGCACTTGCTGGGTGCCAGGCCCCAGTCAACCCCTGTCAGTGCCGGGAGGTCGTGCCTTCGTGTCTCCCTCGTGCGGACCAGTGGACCAGAGCTCAGGGAGATGCGGCCACTCCCCAAGGTCCTCCCCTGGGAAATGACAGAGCAGGACTTGAGCCCAGTCCCTCGTCCTCGCCTGTGAGACAAGGGGACGAAGGAGCCCTTGGTTATACGGCAGGGGATTCCTTCCTACAAGTGCGTTCGAGCTGGGCCCAAGGAGTTAATTTACGTTTAAATATGCACATGCACACGTGCACACGTGCACACGCAGGCACGCACCTCAGAGGGGTCTCCAACTGATCGGATCCATCTGACCTTTATTTCATGTCACTCGTCTGGCGAATCATAACCCGTCCACAGCTTCTCCCAGCAGAGACATAGTGCTGCCTGTCCCTCGAGATGCTGCCAGGAACTCGGTGTGTACGGGCCAGGCTTGTGCCGGGTTCCTGAAGCACCTGCTGGTTCGGCCTACTCAGCTGGGTGACTTTTGTCAGGGAAGGGGTGCAGGAGAGGACAGCGACCACGACAGAGCAGGTCACGCGCGCAGTCACGCCATGGCACGCTAGGTCTCACTGCCCCCACATGTCAGCCAGGATGGTTTGGGTTTGCTGCAGGAAGAAACGGTGCCCAAGTCTCAGGGGCTTTAAAGCACCCAGGACCGTGTCTTGTTCATGCTAGGTGTTCGTTGGGGGAGCGGGGGGGTGGGGGGACTGGAGATCCTGCCCCAGAACTTTCCGATTCAGGCTTCTGCCCTCTGCAGCAACAGCCCCTGCAGGTGACGGGTCTCACACCTGTCCACTAAGGCCTCGCCCGGCAGTGATGTGGGCTGCCACCACGCAAGTGCCCTTGAGTGAAAGCCTCAGTCACACGGTTCGCCCCAGGGGAAATGCAAAGTGCCTTGTGTCCAGAGGGGAAGAGCCAAAAATCTGTCCTTCCATAATGATGGCCATTGCCCACCCTTGGAGGAGGAAAGTCAGACTCAGCAGGCTCAGGACACTTGAAGGTCCCGTACCAATGGGAGGAAGAATATGGTCCCACCCGTGGATGTCAGCCCCACGTGCCCTTCCTCTACCCACAGGGCTTTGGTGTGTGTCAAACTCCATTCACCGTTACCCAGTTTTTGATAGCCTTGACCACTAATTTAGGGGATCACGTTCATTCTAACTGGCTCGCTTCCAGCTGGGCGCCCGGGAGCCTGAGAGGTTTCTGGGGCCACAGCTCATCCTGGGTCACCCTGTGTGAGGGACTAGAGCATCTGAGGGCAAAGTAAGCCAGGACTCTCAGTGGTTAGAGGATCCCCTCCCCGAGCGTGCTGTCACCGTGATTAAAAATGCATCCGTTCACACCACCGGTATGATCTCGTGTGCCACATTTTGCAGAGCAAGTCAGCCCGAGGGCCACTCAGAGCCCAGCCCAGAGCAGGGGAATAAGGCCAGGGCCCAGGTAAGGACTCAGGTCCAAGAAGGATGCCACCCGCCCACAGAGCTGAGGGCCCCCCCCCCCCGCAGAAATGACACAAGTCTGCATGTCTGTCTTTGAATATCTAGAGCAGCAGTCTCCTCTCAGACGTGTCAAGGGCACAGGAGTCACAGGAGAGTTGTGGGCACCATTCCTTACGGGCTGAGGTTTCAGGGTTTGGGGCAAGGCAAAAAGGAGTTGGGGTGGGGGGCGCTTCACAGAAAGACGAGTGGCTGGGGAGGACCCAGCAGGCAGGTCTCTGACCCGTTCCCTGAGAGGTGTTGGGCTCAGATCTTGTCATTGCCTTTGGCATTTTGGGGCTAGAGCTGGAGAGATGTGTGGCTCCCACATCAGAGACCACCTGACCTTGACCTTGCCTGGCAATGTCCACAGCCACACAAGGGACATGGGTAGGTGGTCTGGGGGAGCCAAGGAGGAGAGCCATCTCTGCAGCAGCCCGCTGGGTCAGTGCAGCAGGGTCGTGAAAAGCTGACGGGCTATGTGAGCTACCAGGGACTGCGTGAAGGAGGAATTGAGGGGTGACGGGGAAGGAAGGGAGCCCTCAGTGAACACGCCAGGGCCATTACCACATCTCTGCCAGGCAGTCGCCAGACCTTCACTTGGAGCCGTCTGGAAACAGGGCTCTCAGGGTCCCTGGAGGAGAGTGACCCCATCATCCCCTTGTACTGGCCAAGATGGCGGGTCCATGAGTGTGTGGACGTCTGTGTCTTTCCAGAACAAGGCGACCAGTGGCTGCAGGCCAGACACTAAGCTGTGTTGTATCGAGACGTATGGCACAAGGCCTGGCCATGACCAAACGATGGCTGAGTGGGAGGTGACATGTGTCACCCGAGGGCACAAGACACACTGGGTGTGTATGATCACACTGTTACGAAAGAGTAGGGCCAACGTTCAAACCTAACCCTGTCTAGCCCCTCTGGGTCACCCCACCAAAAACCATTTAGATTTCAAAATGCACATGTTCATTCACTCATTCATGCACTCACTCACTCATTCCTCGAACCCTTGCCGAGTACCTACAACAATGCCAAGCACTGGTGGGGTGTGGGGACACACCGATAAGACCTGCACGGCCGCTGGGGGCTCTAAGCTGGGGTGGCTGTCGGCTGTGGGAGAGGAGGCAGATGTGGACCCAGGGGTGGTCCCACCAGGCAGAGCGGAGCCCGTGCCCACAGAGTGCACAAACTTGCAGCGGCTCTCACGAGGGGGGCGGTCATTCCCACGGCAGGAGTCTGCCCGGGGAGACGTCTCACAGGAGGGGCACGAGCTCAGCTTTGGAGCGTAAGCGGCAGTTAGATCCGTGGTGGCAGAGGAGAAGGGCCTTCCAGGCAGAGTCCACGGCAGGAGCCGAGGCTCAGAGCCGTGGAAACAAGTCCTGTATTCTGAGGTACCAAGTGGTCCTAAGGAGCTGAAGCGGGGGGTATCGGGGGATGTAGAAGGGGTGTTATTGGAGAAGGGCTGGGCAGGAAGGTTTGGCCCCACTCACGAGAGACCCTAGATATCAAGTTCAAACTTTGGGGTCCAGATATAAATGAGGACTTGACTCCAGG